AAATACCTCACTCCTTCAATAGGCTTTAGATGAAGGGACCCAGCACCCCACACAGAATCTTAATGTAGGCAATGCCATAAAGGCATGAACTTTACCTACAAGCAGCTCAGAGCAGAATCCTAGCATGATCCATCGTATGCCGATTATATTATTTTTGGGTGACCAACACTAAATTACATGTTCAGGAAAGAGTTTTAACTGTGAATTGACTGAAGCACAATCCAAACCCTCCATCTGAATTCCCACACCTCCCCTATGCCAACAGTAGAACAGTTATATCTGTGTGATGAGACATACTAATTCAACTGGCATCTAACACTTTTTTCCTCGGATTAGTTCTAGTAGTGAATCAATTTCCTGATCTGGTTCAGCAGGCAGACACAAAAACGCCTGTGTTAATAAAAGCGGGTTCAGCAGGCAGACACAAAAACGCCTGTATTAATAAAAGCAGGCAGCTCGGAAGATGAAAATGCTTCTTTTGATTGACCTCTACCCACTTAAAGCATATGTGAAACTACCTTAGGGATCTTACGCATTGGCTGTCAGAACATACGGCCAACAACCACCAGTCCACTGGGGTTCTGGTCTCTGCCTTTCGGGGATATTTTCTTGTATTATCCAACCATTCTTTTACATTGGAACTATTTATTAAAGTGTGCATTCACATTGTGGTCAAAGCTTATATACTGTTAAGATATGATTTACTGTAAAGCCCTGAAGAATTACGTTACATATCCACAGCAGTCTATTTCAAAAACTTATTTTCCTAGAGAAACGTGGCATTTTGTAACTTTTTAATAAATATATACCTTCTACAGTACTGATACAATAAATAACATTCACAAATATTTTCCTAGAATTGCTGGTTATCACCTCAGCAAACACTATTAATGACTGTCTTATTAGTAAATGAAAACAACAGCTAAAATCACAATTCAGTGACTGTTTTAGCCCCAATGATGATGATGATATTGTATGAAACAGTGTGATCCACTACTATATCATTAATATTTATTTCATCTTGCAAAGGAATTATTACAGTTGATACTGACGAAGCTCTTTCTGCTCCAGCTGAAAAAGCCTGTGAATAAATCATGTCATGTTTAGATATGAAAAGCAGGTCAATGGCTACTGAGCTGACCTTTCCAAAAGCAGAACCTTCCCTACAGCATGGCTTTAGGAAAACATGCTTCATTTCACAACATACATTCTTTTTAACAGAATCCTCTTAGTAGGTACTGGATCAAAAAAATCATTTAACGGTATAAACAGACAGAACACTCTGAGGAATGGAACTTCTTTTAAATTACAGATACATGGCTTAACATTTTAAGACTTCATCTAAATCAACCTCCTTCCAACTGATGTTACATACACCTTGAGGCCAGAAAAATCCCCCTCATGCAAGTTCTTTCGAGTGCCTCAGAAAAACTGGTGAGAACAGCACATTTTTTGAAAGAAATGAACCAGTAGAAAGCAGTGAGTATTAGTACTAGTGTTCTCCTCCATACAACCAGGTATTGTTTCCTTTTCTACCAAGATAAAGTGACTGGCAATGCATCTGTTTTATTGCTCAGCAACTAAAATCTTTACCAATCATAGGTTAGAGGAGCTCTTGTCCAAGGGGGACACATTTCTTTTAATTAGAACAAAATTATCTAAGATGATCCTATTGCATTAGTAATTTATATGAAATCATATCTTAAATCTTTATTAAAAAAAGGAAATAATCACACTGAAAAAGAGGGTTATTCTAAATTGATTGTATATATACTCACAAATCATACTTGTTCCTTCAGCCATGTTGTATTACTTGTGGATGTCTGTCTGGGGCAGTAGCTAACTGCTGCAAAATGAGGCATTTTTGTCTTTATATCCTAATATGGTTGGTGGAGACATCATTCTCTGACCTGAGTTCAGGTACAGCATACCGAATCATACGTTATTTAGGAGCTATGACTCTGTGGTAAAAACATGACAGTTGTGATCCCTTCCATTTAATGTAAACAAGGAACAGCTTTTGACAGTTTTCTCAGTTGTGTTTTGGTTGGGAAGTATTTCAGATATTCTTGGAATAAAAGGTAATCTACACAGTGATTATAAATTAAGACCAATGGCAACTTTTATTTATATAGTTTAACAAACAGATTCAAGCAATTATTACATTAGTCATTCAGATTCTGAAAATCACTATAAACAACAAGTTTATAGCAGGCCTAGCTAGTGTTGCATTCTTCATGGAGCTGTGATCACTAATTTCCAACATTTTTCTTTTTCCAACGAAGCCACCTCAGAGCTCTTGCCAGTGCTACTTGTCCCATGAGGAATGTGATAGTAAAGTTACGTTTATACCAATCTCTAGGATTCCAAAGCCAGGAAAAACATCAGCACACAGAACAAGAACAGGAGAAAGGTACACAATTATATTAAAATATCCTTTGGCATTGACAAATGACAATTCAGTAACAACATGGTTTTCCATTCTTTGTGGCAACACTTTTCCTGCCTAATTAGAGTTAAATAACCTATGAAAAGGTCTATGTGAATACCCACATCCATGAACAGATTACATGTAGACTATAGGGTTACAACCATTGAAAGCTTAACTGTAAAAAAGTTAAAGCATGGGTAGTTCTATGACCAATTGTATTTGGAATCAAGTAAGATAAAATAATTGTAACCATATCTCGTGTTTCAGAAGTAAAGCTGATCATCAAGCTATCTAGAAGAATTTCCTGCCAGTGCTGTGCTATGGGTAAGATTTGTTTGTGCATGTATGAAGATGAGTGTGTTGGAAAGGGCATAGTTGGTCACCTATAAAGGGGGGAAAAATAAAGAAAAATGACACTTCAAAGACTAAATATATAACCCAATACAGGAAACCTTAGGTTTCTAACGCAGTACCCTTTAAAGATGATGCCTTTAATATTGCCAAAGTTAGTGTTTATATCTTTAAATAGTTTTTACGCAGCATGCATGACCTTTGGAGCCAATTCAAGATATAGATAAGATAGTCTGTATCAGTCCTTTTTACCCTCCCAGAACTTGCTTCAAATTCTTGCCCATTACAGACTAATTTCATAATTTCTTTCTAGTTTCCAACAAGGATCACTCCCCCATTTTGTAAAACGCTGCACAAGAAGCAATAGAATATGCTTATTGTAGAACTAGCAGGGATTAAACACGGGAATTTAGGTCTTCTCTTGAGATCTCTGTAGGAAACCTTACATGTACACATCTAGCATAAATGTGAGATACTAACCTCTCAGTAAGGACAGTAGCCAAAATCATGCTGACAAGCAGCACTGAGCTACCCCCTCAAATGTCACGTTAAATCAAAATATCATGCTAACATTGCAACTGTTTCTTTTCCCCTTTCATGTCTCACTTCCTATATCCTTCTCGATTTTTTTTTCCTAAACTAGACTGTATTTCCAGTCTAAGTACCCTGAACTAAATATTCATGGCGTCTATGCACAGTCATTGCTTCAATTTTAACTAAATTTTAGAACCTGCAACACTTCAGCAGCCACAGTTTTCAGGCCAGCTGCCAACACTGCAAAAGAACATACAGCTGAATGCATAAACAGATTTTTATAAATATGACCCCTCAAAATCAGAATGCCTGTAAAAAGCTCCGCTGCTTTCAGGGCTGTGCAGTTCCACTTTGAAACTACAATGATGCAGCTTACACTACCTGATTTTACAAGGCAGCAACAAGGAAGGTCATGTTTAGGCACAAAGCCTGGACTCTCTTACCGTGAAGACAGGACAGTATCCCGAGGTGACTACAACAATGACATCTGGTGACCAGTTCTAAGATAAACTATTTCCTTTCTCACTCATCAGTTATAGGCAATTTGAACGACAATCCTCTTATTAAAAAGAATTTTTTACTTTCCATCTTTTCATGCTGTTGCTTAGGGTTTTGATGAGGTTCTCGCCCGCCATAGGCAAGACAAGATGTGCATATTTGTTTTAAATATTTGTAACAGTAAAATTGTTCTTACAGTATAGCATGTTACAGTATACGCACAATACGTACAAAGAACCCTAAACCACAGTTTGTTATAGATCAGTTATAGTGATGGTAGAATTCTCACTAGGATTACACCGTTAAGAACCCACTAACACTTGACACCTTTGAGCCCGATAATCTTTCAATCCAATACAGAGAAGAAACTGAAGTTGTGGTTTCATATTCAGTGGACAGTGCTACTGTAACTGGATTAAGTACTATCCTCCTCCAGTTTTCCATTCCCTCCTCATTTCTAGCCCTCTACCAAGTGTGCACAGCTACTTGCAGGGTAACGTATGTTTGCAAGTCGTTTTTCAGTTGTTTCAGAGCCCCAATCCAATTTATCAAGTTGTTGTACAAACAGTAACACTGAAACAATGCATTAGATGTTGCAAAGAGGCACGCTGGATGTGGGCTTACCCAGTTGTAGCCTAGGTTCTACACAGGATGAGTTCAGGCGATACTTTACTAATGCTTCACCACACAAAACCCCTCAAACTCAAGGCTAATCACTTTCATTTTTACTATATGCTTGCAAAATAATAAAACCAAGAATTATTCCCATTAAACAATTTTCCTTTGAGATGAATCACATTTACTAGTCCTTATTTAACAGTCAACTAGAATATGTTCTATAGAAATTTCAACTTTTATTTGCGTATTTATCAGTTTCAATTAGCAGTATAAAAAGACGCATGACATAAGAGAAAAAAATTGAGTGCCTGATCTTGTCTCTCTGAATCTCAGACATGAGATTCATCTCTCTACTAAATCAACAATAAGCAGCAGCAGAACTCAAATGATAATGCAAATTTCAGTCAAATGCTAATAATAGCATTTAAAAAAAAAATTTCTAAAATGATAGTTTTAGGTGCTGTTTTACCAATTACGGAAAAAAAAAATGTTCAAATTTTAAATTTGATCTTATGCCTTTCACTTAGACTCTCATGCATAATAGCCAACATAAGTACCTTCTACATACCTGTTATACTGCATATGCTTTCTAAAATTTTTACTTAGAAAGTCCTTGTAAAAGTCAGCCATTTCTTCTGCATTCAGTGTTGCTTTTTGACCTGAAAATGAGTTTTGGCATAACAAAGTTAAGATAATTCCCTGGATTAAAACACTGGGTTCAGATGCAGGAGAGCTAGGTCTGACTCCTGGCTCCTACAAGCTTCTTGTGTAACCCTGAACAAGTTAATACGCTTTTATCTTCCAACTTTTTACTTATCTAGGGAGCACAGCAGATTAAAAATACTGATCAGCTTGAAGCTGGCCTAACTCTTAAGCCCTTATTACTTGTGAAAGTGATTATATTTATCAGTTCTTAGATTATTTAGGGAACTAGTGGACCCCTCTGAAAAAGTCCATAGATCTAGGAGTATCTATCCTTTGAGTAAAATTAATCTCTCGCGAGGCTGAAATCTAAACAGCACCAGTAAGAGCACTTAGTAACTTAAGTTTCCCCCCTAAAGCAAGTCAATAAATATAGAAAGAACACTATCCATGACTGACATGATATTTTCAGATGTACATCTTTTCTGTTGCTGTTCATAAATTTCAAGTAACTTATACCAAAGAGTTCTGGGATGTCGGATTTATTAACAATGTAGTAGACAATTATTTTGTGAAGAAGCAAGTACAAAAGATGACTTTGAATATGCCACTTTCATAAGCAGAATATAAGGGGAGATGAATTCTCTCCGCAAAACATGGAGAGAAGGAAAACCTGTGGCTACAGCACAGATGTAGAATCCTGAGAACCAGCAAATATTCTCAACTCTACCAGGTAATTCCTATGCAAACTTTCTGGCACTTTCAATGTTTCTAAAATGAGGGTCAAATTTGAATGTCCCAGGGGACATGGATATGATGAGGGAGATGGAATAGTGATATTCAACTTGTTACTGTTCCAAAATGCATTTTGAAGCTCCTGAGACTGATCACAAAAATGTAAATTATTGATCAGTTCTATTTGTCATTATTTACAAATCTAATATATTACAAAGGATTAACATACTATGGGATAAATTTACTCTAAGACTATTTGAAAGCTGCCTACTTAACACCTATAGTTAATTTGTTTCTTCATACTGGTATCAGCAGAACTGATTGTAGATTCACTTATGTAAAAAAGTAAGTTTTGTTCCAACTGTTCGTGTATATTGTTATTACTCTTTTTATATACACACACAACTGTATTATAGAACAGAGTTAATCAACACATGCAGCCAATATAATTTTATTTCTAAGGGATGTATATGCTTACTATTTTTTCTTTTATTTCTAGGATATAAAAACAAAACAACCCCCCCCCAAAAACCCCAAATGGCAATACAAAAGCAGCATTTTCTAAACAACACAGAACTTAATTAAAATTATTTCTCAACCATGCACTGATCACCAGGATACAAACAGAAGAGAAAAATAATGGTCTGTAATACACAGAACGTCAGAGCAGATGCTTTACTAAACTCAAACAGATCATTATCCTATGAACAAAATGTTCAACCTCATACTACAATTGCCAATTCACTGTTATTATGAAGACAGCTTGTTTTCAGTTTCACATAATGAATTAGAGAGGCAACTATTTTACAGCAACTGTGCTCAGGCAAAGACAGGCAGATAGCAGCTGCTGTCTCCTCGGAAGCAGTCTTATTCTCCCTCAAGGAAAAATATTGTATTCATTGTATATGCTATGAAGCCAAAGAGTGTGAATTTATCCACCCAACCATAACATGCACTTGAGGCAAATGCTCTATATGTTTAGCTCAGCTAGCTCACTGGGTTAGGAGGTATGAAAGGAAAAAGCCCCTTCCTCCTTAGACTGCAGAATGATTATATCACTTGGCTAGGGTTTCAGTGCATTCCCTCCAGCTGCAGGGAAGGAATTGGGGGAAGAACAGTGCAACAAATGATCTGACCCCCACATGCACATCTCCGAAGAGCTCCTCCCCTCTTTTTTTATCATGCTCCTGAAAACACTTCTAAATCCTACCCTCAAGATTTACTTGTGACAGAACACAAAGAGCATAAACTAACAAAATGCAAAGTTAAACAGAACTCAGAATGCATCCTAAACTATAAACAAAGATCTCACTAACCTGTTTCATCTCTCATTTCCAGACCCTTGGCTTTCAGTCTTGAATAAATAAATTCTTCTTTTTCCTAAAACATGTTTTCCCACATTACAATCTGATGTACTCAGTCCTTGAAGTTAACCATTGTTTTTAATCACATAGCAGTGTAGTGCCTAATACCCTCTGAAATAACAAGCAATACTCATTATACTTGGAAACGTCAACAAAACATTTTCCTGAATCCAATGAGTTAGTTAAACCAGTAACTTTGTCACCTAGATCCTGCTACCTGCATGGATCAATTAATTCATGCAAGTGTTCTACTGAAATGTATAAAACTTATTTGCGTAATAAAGTTACAGCTGAGCTCCAGCATTGTTTGACAGGATCCAAACCTTCAGTTTGTAAGGCAAACTGTGAAGATGTGCTGTATTGTATAACTGAGAATTTGAGCATAGTGAAAAACATGCAGCCTTAGAAAATAGAAATTACTTAGATGGAAACAGAATAATTATTTGTACGTAAGTTTTTCAGACTTAAAAAGCAGTTCTATGGAATTAAAAAACAAGCTTCATTTTTCCTCTGAGACCTTTGCAAGTTTTGGGAAGATACGATGATCAAAGATCATCACAAATGATGGTGAATTACTGAACCGTTACTGTTCTTCCAACAAAATTCAGCATCTCCTAACCAATGATGCAATCAGGAAAGAAGACAGACCACGACTGAAAAGTCCCCACTTTTAGCCCTGTTGGGATACACTGCCAGTGAAACAGGGCACATCCCTTATTACCCTTGGTGATTATAACTAATTTTTCCCACTTATGACAGAGCAAGAAGAGGCTACAATACACCCCCCCCCAGCCGCTCTAGTCACAGACAGCTCTTGCATGTAGGGTGGCTACAACTTTGTATTTTCAGTGCAAGATAGGAAAAAGGCAAATATCATTATATGCCACTAAACAGCAATAAAATACGCAGGCTCTTTAGTTTTGTACGCCATTTTAAAGAAATGAATGACAAAAAAGCAATTTCCACGAAGACACCGTGCGTATTAAAAGAAACGGTATCAATTACTGGCCAGTAACAGCGGGCAGAACTGAACCCTACCTCATGGAGTCCAAACCCCCTGATGAGCAGCACCGGGTGTTGCAGTGGGCTCACCTGGCGGAAGGCGCAGTTGTGCCGTGCCCAGAAGCGCTGGTCGCAGGCCTGGGCCTCCTGCCGCGCCTCCCGCAGCCGCCGCTCCAGGGGCGACTCCTTGGGGGGCACATAGAAGATGACCCGCCGCAGGTTGGAGTGCTTGTCGGGGGGGCCGATCCAGTCGTTACGGGAGTGTGCAGGGGGGCTGAAACCCAGGCCCTTGAAAATACAGGCAGAATTCATTATGACACGTTAGCAGAGTTTTTGAAGAACATCCCGATTTCAAATAAATTCCAAAACTCCACACAACCTTAAAACATGAGCACAACAATTATGCACGTTCATTTACCCTGACTGAAAACGATGTGACACATTTAAAATTTACTTTTAGAAATGCACTATGGAGAAGATGCCTTTGACTCTTTTCCAACAGACACGAATCATGATTTTTTTTTTAAAAGCAACTTTTTTTTTTTTTCATTTTTGTATCACTAATATTCCACTTCGTTAAAATATCTGATGGCAAGAACTAGGAAATATGTAAGTCTTCCTCAGCGCTGCTTTCTTCGGGCATCCTTGTGAGCACGCACACGCGTGTAGCTTTTCAGGCCGGGTTTAGGAAGAACTGGCTCTAACAGCCCGTAACTTACCGCTCCGTTTGTAAAAGCGTTTTACTTCCCTTGGGCCCCAGCGCCCCGTCCGCACAGCACGGGAAGGCCCGCGTGGCATTTACAAACACCGGGGGTGTTAGAAAATACATAAACAACGAGAGGCCGCGGGAAACACAGGCTTTTATCGGGACGCACCCGCCCAGCGACGCTGAGAGTTACCGCGGGGGCGGCCTCCCCCGCTGCCCCCTCAGGGCTCCGCAGGGGCGGGAGGCCCCGAGGCCTCCCCCGCGGCAGGCCGGCTCCGGGACGCAGGAGGTGCCCCCTCCCCTCCCGCCCGGATTTACCGCGCTCTC